TGCATGGTTGCGTGAGGCAAGAGCCTAGACAGTTAATTTAATGTATATAGATCCAAGTCAAACTACATTTTAAAAGTATTTTTGCAGATTCTATTAGTAACAAAAACATGCTTTTAATATGGCACTGTTTGGTGAAATATCAAAAGCCAAGGAATGATTGAATAGGTTTCTGGAGTGCATGGAATGGAGCTTCAGTACTTTGTGACACCTTGTGACTTCATAGGGGCAGAAATGTTAGACAGGTTAATTCATTTTGCATGGTGTAGGTTGCAGAATTCAGTTTAATTGGTCATAATGGCATTGATTTTTTTTTTTTAAAGCATTGATTTCACCCATGAGTTCTCCTAGCTCTGAACAGTTGGTAGATATTTACATTTGTTGTTGGCTGCTAAGAGGTACTGGACTGTTCCTATGGATTGAAGGAATAGTTGGTAGATACTGCACATTAATAGTAGCTGAGTTTCAAAGAACTGGTTTCATTTGTGAACTTTGCACATGCCTGCCAGAATATCACTAGACAGGTAGCCTTGGGCACAATGCCGTCTCACATTTTCCATCTGCCCCATGGAACAAGACTGGCCTGCCTTGGAGAATTGTCAGGTTGACTAATGCGTATGAAGTGTTTTGTATACTTTAAAAGCATTATATCAAGACTAAGATGATCGTGTTGATGATTGCGGAATGAGAACCCATTATCAAGGAGGTTTTGTAGTTGCTTCTGTCCCCAACAGAACTAATTAACACTTTTGTATTCACTGTGTTTTTTTAATCTGTGAAAACATGGAACTTATTCCCTCTAGGCAGTTTGCTGTACTTGTTTCCGATACAGTCTTGAAAAATATTTGTATCATTTTATCCTCAAAGTGAGGAACTGGATTTTTGCAATGAATGAAAGGAAAATTTGAAAATCTTGCCTGGTAAATGCATGAAGTTATGAAAGAACTCAGACCTGCAGTTTTGAAATGCAAGCTGCTATTTTTGTACCTTAGCTTTTTGAAGATAACACTTGATTTAATCTTACTGTCTGAGATCCTGCAATATTATGCATAAACAGATCCGTGGTTATCAATGGGATTTAAGCAAGGGTAAGAAAGGCACAATAATGAATAATTAACTTCTATCATGTGTGTGTGTGTGTGCGCGCATGTGTGTATATATACACACATTTTCTGTTTAAAAGTCTGTTACCTCAGTTGCTTCCGGTTTATTTATGTGTTTTATTACATAAGTACTTCGAGAACACTGCTGTTGTTTGCTGCTCTTATGCTTATGATCTTTAAAGTAACAGTCTTTATTTTCATGCAGTATGAGATGTAGACATGTACAAGATAGATATCCCAGCACATTTTTCTATGTGGTGTGGACAAGGAGCATTCCTTAGTATGAATTTGATAGGTGGTTTAAAGAATGAAAATATGTATATGAAAGGAACATGGCAGTCAAACCAACTGGTCATGCTTATCTGTCAAGTATGTATTTCACTGAATGTTGATGGAGTTCAGTTTTTGAAGTGGAGTGTTTACAGGAGAACCAAACTCCTGCGGAAAGATAAACCATCCCTCATAGAAACATAGAATAGTAGAGTTGGAAGGGGCATGAAGGCCATTGGGTCCAGTCCCTGCTATTGCAGGATACCCCGTCACACCATCCCACTCAGATGGCTGTCTAGTTTCTTTTTGAGTGTCTCTAGTTTGGGAGAGCCCACCACTGCTCTAGGCAGCTGGTTCCACTGTCATATTGCTGTGACAGTGAGGGAACTTTTCCTGATATCTAGCCTGAATCTGGGTTGTCGTAACTTGAATTGATTATTCTGTGTCCTACACTCTGGTGTGTGTGTGTGTGTGTGTGTGTGTGCGCGCGCACGCGTGTGTGTGTACACTTTGCATCTGGTATGGAAAATCACTTTTGCACTGAAGAATACACAGTGCAATCTCTCCGCCTTTTCACCAAGGGAGTAGGGGGAACTGATCGTGCTCTTGCCTTCTCTGAAGCAGTCCTTTAGAGGAGGTGATCTGCAGGATGATCTAAGTATCTCATTGCCTTACTTGGAAGGTGATGTTCTTTCTTTCCTCTCTGGTCTCTGCAGCAACATCTACCTTTGCTCCAAATTCCCACCCTCTCTGCTCTCTCCTTTTTTCCCTCTTTCCGTGGAAGGATGGTTGCCCAATTCCTTTTCTTGTTCTTTTCTGCCGTCGCTTCATCCCTATCTGTATCTATGAGGTAGTGAATAGGAAAACAGAAAAAATAATGGATGAAACAGTACTTGTAGTGTAAGCATGAACAGGGCTGAATCTTGACAACAGAACAGGTAAACCTATTTAGTATGCTTGAAAGTATTGTGTCTGCCTCTTGCCTGATGTTTCGTAATTAATGAAGGACAATTGTTTTGCTCCTTTTATTATGCTACCTGTGTTGGGAATGAGAGGCAGTTGTTCTTGGTGTGTGTTTAAAGGCCAGGGAGACCACATGGCCACATGGACTCTTCAGGGGGAGGGGGAAGGAAAAGAGTCCAGGGAAATGGGACTGCCAGATGTTGAGACGGAAGAGGTGGGAGGGCATATCTCAAGGCCACCCACTCCGGGTATTCAGGTGGACCCTGAGAATAGCCACAGTCTGCAACTTTCTGGAGGTGCAGTTCCAAGAGGCAGACCAGCCATGGCATGGCATCAAGAGAGAAGGGCTAGCCAGCTAGAAGAGCAGTGTACAGCTAAGAAGTTGGCCTGCCTTAGAAGAGCTCTCCCAGAGGAATGGGATCCAGGGTTACTCAAAAGGAGGGTTCTCAGACTACTTGGCTTCCAGTTTGGGTTCAACAGACCACTCTGTGCATGCTCAGAGACTCTTTCTTTGTTGCTTATGCTTTACGGGATGTGTATTGGAGAATAAAGAACTTTTGCCAAAGAGTTGTTGTGTTGAAGGTGTACTGCTTTCAACTGACTTGCATACTATTGTTTCTACAAAGTGAATTGACAGTTAAACAGGTTAATGGATACGTTATGGGAGGGAATGAACATCTGGAAATTGTGTGTTTAGTTTATTCTGATTGTTCAGTATTTATAATGCCATACATAGCCTGTTGTTTTGAAGGTGTGAAGAGAGAAACCTCGCTCCCAACAGCCTGCATATATCAGGTGTACTGCTGACCTGTTTCTCAGTTAGGAGTGCTACGATCAAAATTCAAGATCAACAATTACTTGAGCTAGAATTTGGTTATCCCTTCCTGAGTATTTAATTCTATGCATCATCGTATGTTATCACCTATCATAATCACGTCCTGCTGAGTAATGTCACTAGGACATGACATTTTTTACATAGTGTTTTTGTTTCCTTTGAGACAGCTGGAGTTCACCATACTGCCACTTTTATAAGTTCCCAGAACCTCAGCCAATTGTTAAGTGTTTGGAGCCCTTTTTATAGATCTTTCCTTTCAGTGCAGTAATTCAAGTTCTGTGGGGCTATACACACTGTAGCAACTCCCTCCCCCTTTCTTTACATGCTTCTGCTCATCCAGTCAACATTGCCGGCATGTTTTTCATTCCTGGATTTCTCTACATGCCACATTTTAAAGGGCTAGAACGCGGGAGTGCAGTTTTTCTTATGGGAAGAATGACATGCTTTCCTAGCTTTGTGACTGATCAAGCAGCCCAGTGAAGCCCCAGTTCACCCACTCAGTGCATAACACTCTCTGATAACAGTTGTCCCTTCTTTCCTTCCATCTTAGTTGCTACTCAGCAGCAGTAGTAACCATGTACTGCATTCAGCTGACTTGTTTCTACAAGCTGAGTTGACAAGTAAATAGTACAAGGGATATGAGATGAGAGTGGCTGAACATCTGGAAATTAAGTGTTTAGCTTATTCTGATTTTTTAGTATTTATAATGCAATACATGGATCTGAAATCATCCAAGTGTGTTTTCTTAAGTCAGCAAAATGTTTCCTCACAGGTTCGCTTCTAATTTTAACAAAATGCATTTCCTAAAAGTGATCTATATGCTGCTTCAACAGAGAATCCTTTTTGGTTTTAGTCACTCTCTTTCTTGCTGACTTAACACCTTTTGACTCTTGGTCTTCTCTGTTCAGTCTCATTGGTTTCCATTTATCATCAGTGGAGTTGCTGGGCTTGAGGGGGCCTGTGCAAATTGCCCTTGGGTGTGAGGGCAGTCCTGGTGGCTTTGGCATCCCCTACTTCCCCTTTGCTCTCAAGCCACTCATTCCTCCTTCCACACACTTTGAAGAGACTGTAAGTTGTGCTGGACAACCAAAATCTCTCTAAAGCTTTGAAAATAATAAGCATAAGGGAGCTGTTTGTTTCCTTTCCTTGTCTCCCCACATGATACCTGGGCAGCAGCATTGGGGGCGAACAGTAGCCTGGAATCAGGTCCCAAAATAGTGGTGCTGCACTGGTACTGACTGTGCAGTATTGTGCGTGTTTTCATTGTTGTTTCTTTAAACAGAGCACAGGCATGCTGCAGGGTAAGGCCCAGGCATGTCTGTTGCCACCTTCCTTTCCTGGAGCACTCTGGACTCCCATGGTTCCAGAAGGCCTCTGGGGAATGTATGAAGAGGCTGAGGAGGGCACACCTGGCCTCCATTTCACATAAAACGGGACAACACTCACATCATACTTAACAACTAGTGGTACCATTTGGGGGCCTTCTAACCCACAAGGTCCAGGACAAGCACCCTGGCATTTATCCCTAATGATGCCAGTGTGCTTCACAGGTTGAGAACCAGTTTGCTTACCTGTGATGTCCTGCTTGTGCATTTATTTCATAGAAGTCTTTGAGCCTTTTTTCATCGAACTTATTACTGGTTGACTTCATGCCTCATTTAGACCTTTCTATTTACCATAGTCTGGATTAACTATTTATTGCAAAGCATTTAAGCCTGATAACTCTGTGCTGTTTTGACGTAAGAGAGTCTGTTCCTGTTGTTTTTTTAAAATTTGCACAACGTTTTTCATTAAAATAGCAATACTATAAACAGTGATGTTCTCTTTTGCAGGTTTGACAGATGAAAAAGTGAAGGCCTATCTTTCTCTCCACCCCCAGGTACTGGATGAATTTGTGTCAGAAAGTGTAAGTGCTGAAACAGTGGAAAAATGGCTGAGAAGGAAACACAACACAGAGAAAGGTAGGATGTTAATAACTTTTAGACGCTCTGAATAGATCTCTGAATGGTTTTGGAAAGGTATATTCTTAGTATATTATATTATTATTTTGGTACATGATGATCTGGTTAGCACAACACAACGATCCACCATGGCCTGATTTATCCATGGGACTCTTGCATTGTGCCAGCCCCTCGTGAGGGCCATTTTTGCATGGTGCTTGTGGGTGGGTGGTTGTGCCTTTTTGTGCCACGTGAAGGGGCACAAAACAGCAGGGGTTGTTTGAGGGTTAGACAACCCTAAAATAACCATGGTTCTTTTAGGATTATTTGAGGATTATTCTAGGATTATATGTCTAATGCTGAAACAATTCCTGCAACTTGGTTTTGCATGATATGAAAGCCATGGCAAGCTGGGAAACAGGATACCAGGCAAAACGGCTGTCCTGCATCGTCAGCGCTATGGGTCAGCACCCATGAATAAATTAACCCACAGTGGGCAGTGATGAGGTGCAAACACATGATTCAAGAGAAACCAAAGGTAGCAAGCGGTGTAATTAACCTTGATAAATTCTGCCTAAATAATACGTTATATATAACTCACTCAAAGGTTGTTGTTTTTATTTTGCTGCTTGTAGCACACTTGTAAACTTACATGTAAATAACACAGATTTATTTTATTCTGCTGCTGAATCTTTCTGGGCGGTTTATGATAATTCTTGCAGCATGTGCAAGATAGCATGTGTACAGAACCATATTAACTTCTGTTTTGTAACTGAAACATAAATCTGTTATATTTTTTATTTTTAAGAGCTCCAGTAATTAATTTACAGTGTAACCAGACATTCTAGTATATGTTCATATCAAAATCGGGCCTCATTTTGCTGGGGGAAATAACCGGCTACGGATGTTTTACTACCTTGTAACTGTAGAAGAATAACTTGCATCAGGCTAAATTTGAGATCAATTTTATATTTATTCATTGATTTGGAGCATTTAAATTTTTCTTTCCAGGCAAAAGCCTTCAAAGTGGCTTATAAGAACTAATAATTATACAGTGTCTGCTTTCAGACTTGCAATCTGAAAAGACATGAGACTCAAGAAAAGGATGGGAAGGGAAGATGGGGGAAAGGTGTGATGGTGATGCTTGATTCAGTTGGAGCGGACTGTTCCAAGTGAACTCCGGCTTCTTGTTGCTGCTGCTGTATTATTACTAAGGACCTATGTGAGGGGAAATCATTCCTCAAATAGAAATATAAATGTTGTTGCCATGTGCCATCAAGTCATCTCTGACTTACAGTGACCCTGTGAATAAAAGCCTTCCACAGTGTCCTGTCCATGACATCTTCGGTTAGGTGTTCTAAATTCAAGCCTGTGGACTGCTTTATGGCATCAGTTCTTCTCTTATTTGCTCTTCCTTTTCTTCTTCTGCCTTTGACTTTCCCTGGCATGATTGTCTTCTCCAGTGGGTCTTGCCTTCTCATGATGTGTCTGATGTATGGCAGCCTCAGTTTTGTCATTTTTGCTCCTAGAGAAAGCTTTGACTTGCTTGCTTATCGATGGCACCTTCTCAAATTGGATGGAAGTAACTAGTGGAGTGCCAGAGGGTTCAGTCCTGGGCCCAGTGCTCTTTAATGGCTTTATTAATGATTTAGATGAGGAAGTACAAGGAAAGATAATCAAATTCACAGATGACACAAAAATGGGTGGAATAGCAAACACTTTAGAAGACAGAATGAAGATCCAGGGCAATCTTGATAAACTTGAACACTGGGCTCAAAGCAACAGAATGAGACTCAATAAGGACAAGTGCCAAGTCCTCCATCTAGGAAAAAGAAACCAAATGCATCGATACAAGATGGGGAATACGTGGCTCAACAGAACTGAAAAAGACAAAGATCTTGGAGTAATTGTGGGCAATAGGCTAAACATGAGCCTATAATGCAATTCAGCCACCAAAAGGACAAATGCTGTTTTGGGATACATTAACACAAGTATGACTTCCAGATAATGAGAAGTCGTAGTTCCTCTATTCTCTTCACTAGTCAGACCTCACCTGTAGTACTGTGTCCAGTTCTGGGCACCAAGATTTTATTTATTTATTTATTTATTTATTAAAACATTTTTATGCCGCCCCATTCGCCGAAGCCTCAGGGCGGCTTACAACATTAAGTTAAAAAATAATTATAACATTAAATTTAAAAAATACAAACATTAAGTTAAAATGCAAAAATAACAATATAAAATAAAAAATAACAATATAAAATAAGTCACCCTGGATTTAAGAAAGATGCAGGTAAATTAGAAAGGGTCCAGAGGAGGGCAACAAAAATGATCCAGGGTTTGGAAACACTGCCCTATGAGGAGAGACTGAGGACCTGATATCCCTCTATAAGTACCTCAAAGGCTGTCACAAAGAGGAAGGACAAGATCTCTTTTTGCTGATGCCAGAGTGTAGGACACGGAATAATCAATTCAAGCTGTGGCAACCCAGATTCAGGCTGAACATCAGGAAAAGTTTCTTCACTGTCAAAGCAATACAACAGTGGAGCCAGCTGCCTAGAGAGGTGGTGAGCTCTCCCACACTAGAGACTTGCAAGGTGAATCTGGACTGCGCTCTTTGTGAAAGTGTAATGTGGTGTCCTGCAATAGCAGGGGATCGTGGCCCCTTTCAAGTCTAATATTCTATGATTTATGATCAAGGACCCACTCCTGCACTCCTTGCACTGCATCTGTTGTCCTTCTGGGCTGCCCTTCTTTTCTTTCTTGTCTTCCGTAGCTTCTCTCTCTCTTTCTCTCAGTGCAAGCTTATTTTTTCTCTCTCATTAGGGCAAGATGTCCTTAGGTGCCATGCTGGTGTCAATCGAAGGAGGGAGGGATCACCATTGGGAGCTAGTTGGCAGTAACTTACTGGGTTGTGTCATCCCCTTCTCCTGTGGTTCAGGATAAGCTAGCACCAAGGTGTTGGTCACTCAGGAGGTCTTAATAGGTACAGGCTAGAGATATGCACTGGGTAAAGTGAGGACAGATAAATCTCTCATCAGTTATGTCCTCTCTAAAAAGTAAAACTCCTCCCAAGCTTGCTAAATTGATTCCATTACTCCTTGTGGTGGCAAATCAGTATCTGAGACAGTAGTAATGGCACAGGATGTGAGTGTCCTTTTGACAGATAACAATGTTTCTTTTGGATTTAAAAGAACATCTTAGAAAGGACAAGAAGGGGATACACAAATTCAAACATAACTGTCTAAGCTATGGATTGCTCAGCTACATGAAATAGAACAATAGATATTCAATTTGTCCTGTGCTGTAACTGCCTTTGCAGGGCCTTCTGGTCTCCCAAATGAAGGTTTGTTTTTTTAATATGCCAGTTAATCAAAATTCTATTTTAATTAAACATGATGTTAACATTCAGCCTGTGATACCTGCACCACTAAAAATATAATTTAAAATTCTACTCTGCTTGCATCTCATGTTTATTGGGCCAAACATATTCCATTTCTCCAGTGGTTCCTGCTTGGCCACTCTTTACTTTTGAGAAGTACTTCCTCCTGATTGATGGGTAAGGCTGCCTGCAATAACTTCACCAGGGGGAAAGGCTTCCTTTCAGCTCCAAGATTTGTCTGGCTAGCAGGTAGCAGGCATCTGGCATGGTTTGTATCTGTGCTGTTGCAACACCATTTAAATTTTGTAAGAGAGAATGTCATCGCTTCAGGCAGGGACTTGGGCTATGCTTAGTCGTTCCCCAGCCTCCAAGGTCTGAGAAAAAGGGCATGCTGAGGAGGGAAGACTGCTTCTGAAGAAAGACAGCCTTTCCCTCCTGCACAGATTTCTGGGCTAGGCTTCTCTCCCTCCCATAGAGATCAGGAAAGTAGCAGGCACCAAACTCTTCCTCATTTCACAGCTGGGGAGCTGAAAGTGAGGCCAAGCAATCATATTGCCAAGCATCTCACAGCAGGGGCCAGGGATGGCTTGAGTGCCAGCACTCTTAAGTCTGTGCAGGCCTTTGCTTATACCACACATAATGGGGATAGGTAGGTGGGGCTCATGTAAACCATGTTTCCACTACCAGATGCCTCAGAGATCTTCAGGCATTCAGTGTGAAGGTCAGATGATGCCATTGCAAGTATGCCTGGTTGTACACACTTCCCATGATCAGACACACACTAATAAAGTAGGGCGTTTTTAAGCTGGTTCAACACAATGTGCTTCTAAAGCCCTCTTCAGACGATCACACTCGACAGCAGCTGGGTATGCAGGAATGATGGGGGTGGTGCTTGTGTGCACCCACATCTTGCCTTCTCCCCTCTTTGGCTTCCATAGAGGACCTTTCCGTACTCTCTTCCTCAGTCATAAATTGGCATCTGGTGTGGGGACTGGGCCTGAACATTTGTGTTTCAAAGGTACAGGGCAGATGGATTGCAAGAGTGTGAAAAGAGCCAAACGGTAGAACTGAGGACTATTAAGACTATGCAATGTGTTGTTGGTGAGTTAGGGTGAATATTTGGAGGAGGGTCCACTTGCTTTCTTGTAAGAAGAACCCTCTTGTGGTAATGTTAGGAGATCTCTTGGATTTTAAGGAGAGGCTTTGGGCCCTTGTAGTTTCCCATCCAGAGTAAAAGACTTGTTTTCATCCTGTTTTAAGAAGCTAGTCTAACTGCCTTGAGGGGAGCCAGAGAACACTTCTGGAACAATCCATCGTAGGCTGAGTAGGGGACAGTCCCTATCTCCCAGGTCCTGCAGTTTGGGTATGAACAAATGGAAAGAAAGAGCAGTTCTATGTTTCTCCTATCCGGAACAAGCATCTCCTATCCCGCCATCCCCATTTGCCCTCAGCACCAGCTTGGCAAGGAGAAGCACTAAGCACTCATGTGGTAGGAGCAATATGGAGAAGGATAGCAGCTTCTGGGTTCATTCCTGTCCTAAGCAGCTTCCCCACTCTTTGAAGCAGCGGTGGCACCAGGAGCTCAGTCAGTTGGTGAGAACATGTTTATTTACTCTTAAATCAAATCATTGGCAGTTCT